GAAAAAAGGGAACCCATCTGGTAAAATTAATTTCTCTATGAGCAGGTACATGAAGAACAAGTGAAGCAAATGGATATTGAAAATAGCTTTATCACCAAATGGAAAGATACTCAAGTAAGTATTGACAATTCCTTCCTGCTTTCCTGCCTTTGAGGGAAGGGCCTGGTTTATAGGCTGAGCCTCTGCAGAAGATAATCCACTTCCATCCCTGGCATCTCCAAGTATCACTAAAAAGAAATCCTGCCTGGAACCCCTTGAGATTTCCTGCCGGTTAATGTTGACAGTCCTGTGCTGGAAGGACCAATGTCTGACTCAGTGTAAGATAGCTTCCTGTTTCTGACCCCAGATTGCTGGCATGCCTAAACCATAAAGCAAGTGTAAGTGGGGGGAGGGGCTTGCCGCCAGCTAAATCCTCCAACAGGCCATGGGTTCCCAGGGTAGTTTGTTCACAAAAGCATATGTCTGTGCTTATTAGCATTTTGTCAGAGAGCACATGCCAGGAGAGAAAGTGGCCACCCGAGTCTGGTAACTCTTTCACATAAAACAATGTCAGACAAAAAATCCATTGAGCCTAACTGCAACTCTTGGGGTGGGATATAGAACTTTAACCCATTCCTGAAATTCTGTAAGGAGATCAAAATTCTCAACCTACCTCAAATAAACTTCCAAATAATGTTCCCGAAGGCCTTATTTGCATCCAGAAAAACAAATGGCTGCCACATCTGTTCTATCTCTATTAAATATGATGTGATTAACTTTTTTAAAAATAAAAGCCTTTTTAAAATATGTATGGAAAGTCTTAGATGTACAGGTGAGGTCAGGCCAGAAATAGCACTCCATCAGGCACTGTGGTCCCATGTTGTGTGAAGCTCCATGGGTCAGAATTAGCACCTTGTATCATGCTTGGAAATGTACAGGCGGCCACTGCAACCAGCCCAGGATCTGTGTTATACATTCAGGCCTTTTTGTCCCTATTATCTACCTTGCTACCACATTTTTCACGAGCTGCAGCTTTTGAACTATCTTCAAAGACAGCCTCATGTAGAATGCATTGCAGGTATTTAACCTGGAGGCTAGCAGAGTATAGACTACCTAAAGCCAGGTTAATCCTGTCCAGATAGGGGTGCAGCTGGGTCACCAGTCAAAGGTCCCCCTAGACCACTGGCAGAAAGTACAGTATACCACAAAGGCCACCTGAGTTTCAGGTGACAAAGGTGGATTAAGGAGAACCCCCAGGCTCTGAAACTTGTTCCTTCAGGAGTGCAACTCCATCCAGAGCAGGTAGAACACGCTCTGCCTGGTCAGAAGAACCACCTGCTAACAGCATCTCATGCTTGTCTGATTTGAGCCTCAGTTTGTTAGCACTTTTTCTGTCCATTATTGCCTACAGGCAGCAGTTTAGCAGATTTACAGCTTCACCTGATGAGGATGAAAAGAAGAAATAGAGCTATGAGCTGTCCACATACTGATGGCAATGCACTCCAAAACTCTGGATGACCACAGCAGAGGCTGAAAAAAATCATAAAATAATTTCCCTGTTTTGGCTGCACCCCAGTGGAAAGGCTAGTGATATTAGGCGGTGGTATTATGAGAAGTATAAGTTACAAATTTCAAAAAGAGACAAATCCTCCAGGTGAAGATTCAGTTCCAACCTCTTTATGCCAACAAAATGATTCAGGTGGTGCTTGAAGGCTGCTTGTTGCATGAGACCATTTACTTTTTATTAAGCTTTCAAAAGTTATTTTGTTAAAGTATCTAGTTGTTGCAGTACATTTTATACAACATTTGTTTTTTCTAGAATAGTGAAAAGCAATCAACAGTACAGAAATTAAACAAGGTTTCGGTGTGGTCGGACTTGCAAAGCTCTCTTTTGAATTATTAAAAAACACAGAGCTGTTTTAAAAATAAAATTCACTCAGCCCTAACTTCTTTTGCAACTCAAAGAAAAACCTCACGCTTCTCATGATGACCTTGTTTTCCGTTCCAGTTGGCACTTGGTTAACCATTCTTCTTTTTTTCCCCCTGCCCACCAAACACTTTGCCAGCTGTTTTTGTTTGCTGCTGTAATTTGCAGCACAGATTTTTCCCCCCTCCAATGTTTAGATACGCCCAGTGGAAATCAAATGTCAACTTCATTCCTTCCTCCAACTTTTTTTCCCAGTAATATCATCTAAAAAGCAAATTTCACTACGAAATAGGCTTTTTCTGAGTCGTTGCCAGTATAATTAAGAAGCTTTCTTCAAAGTCGCTTTGTAATGCGTTTTCCCCCTCACAAATGATTCCATTAGTTTCAATTCTCAGAGGCCACTGTGACCTTAAAGTCCTAATTTCTCCATTATGTGGCTCTTTAGTGAACATAGTGATGCAGTGTCTTTTACTTACAGGAAAAACAAATTCTGCAGAAAGTAATTTGAAATTATTTCCATAACTTTATTTGTTCTTTATTGCTCTATACTATAATACCAATAAATAGAACTTGCATTCAAGAAACACAGGTTCATTTCTTGATGCTATTGCAAATCTCTTCTTGCACCTACCTCCACTGGGCACCACTTCCATAAGTCTGTTATGCCTGTGGCTCATTGTCTGATTTCCTTCTTGCCTGCCTTGGGGAAACACAGTTTATGCCCATCTGCACCATGTGGTTTCATTTATTTACTTGTGAAAATTGGTCTAATCTTACAAATGAGACTTCGCAGATATCAAGGAACCTCTGAGAATGGGTCTGCTAGCCCTGCTCTTATGTGCTGACCAGATTATCAGGTCTAATACAAAAGGGACTCTATGCCTATATAGCTCTCCTTAAAGGGATGCAAACCTTGATTAACAGTTTCCTTTTGTACTGGGATCCATATCTGGATGACATTCTAATGAGGATTTAAGTTTGAACTGTTCTTAATGTCCAGCACAGGCATAATATACAGCCACAGGTCCAATTGTTATGAGAAATGACAGTTATTAGACTTTTTGCAGTATCTTTTAAAGGTATGATTTGAAACGGCTCATCTCTTGCAAAAGTACCTTTAGAGTATTGGTGCCTTCTTGATGCTCAAGCATTCACAAATGCACAGACTTGCGGTTTGTTTCTTCCTGTTTAGTCTCTAGTTATCAACCTGAATATGTTTGTTTATGTCTGGGAAGGATGCTCCAAGATGGACGTGGAGTGCTTGTGTTCCATGCATCTTGGAATACCCAACTCTTTGTCTATCTGCTGCTTGAATTGTACTCTTTTTTCATGACATGAATATCTGCATAGAATGTAAAATAGAAACAGCACAGATGCCTTGAGAGTTTCTAGTGGCTTTTAACAATTTTTAAATGTGGCAGACAGTAATGTGAGGCACCAAACAATCTCTCTGAAATAGGAGGTTATCAAACTGTTTCAGAAGTGTCTCCCTGAATTGTGAGGGAAATGGATGATCCTCCTCCACATTTAACTAAGAAAAAACAAAGTTGACTCACTTAGCCTTGTTTATTCTTGTTCTGGGGGAAAAGTGGGGGCAGGCAGTCCAGTAAAAAGAATAGCTATAAGGCTAAAAGTCCAAGCGAAAGTGTAAACTTGTAACTACAAGTGTGTGGGAACATACTTCTTCCATAAAATAGGACAACCAATATGTAAGGAACAGGGTTCCAGCCTGCCTTGTTCCTAGCATTCTAGCTTTTGCATTGAGGGGAGATATATATATATATATGAAGAAATGTTCAATTATATGGGTTTCTTCCTGCAGTCAGGAGTGGTGCAGCTAAGACACAGGCTCTCAGTGAGAACTAAGCCTGGTGTGGGTGTAGCACATTTCTTGTTTTTCAATTTGTCTAAGTGGGCTGGTCACTCAAGGAGAGATTAGCATTGTCTTTGAGGTTCCCACCATTCACATTTGGGCCACGGATTTATTCAGGTAAATGGAACCTTGGCATACAATGAATGACTGTTTAAAAACATGATTACAGGTTTGGAGAAATTCTGTTTAATCCAGTTGGTAATTGTGCATGTTGTTCTGGAGGCCCAGAGAAAAAATGTCAAAATGACCTCCCCACCCAACCATCCTCTGGTGAACTTAGATCTTCAAAGTTGTAGGTTTTTTTTAAAAGTTTTTTGCTTAATTAGACTAGGTACAAACCTCCAGCTGTCACTGCCTCCATTCCAGACAGTTTCTTGCAAAGCAGTGACTTGGAAGCCTTCTCTTTCATATGGTTCACAGTGACTGTGTGCGTGCACTTTCCCCACCTGTCTCCTCCAACAAGAACAGGAGGAACAGGTGGAAACTGGTGGATTTTTCCCCAGGTTTTGATTCATCACAGTTCCTAAACTGTGGTTAATATTGACTGTAGTAAGTGCCCTTACTTACACATTTAAAGATAGTGGGGCCATGCAAGGCATCTCTGTCTCCCACTGCTGACACAGCCAGCAGCAACATCACCCTGCCCTAGAACATGTTGGAAGGGATTTTTGTGTGCATCCTGACAAACACAGGTGCACAGAACTCCTCTGTTCAAGGAAGGAAGCTGCCCACATGGAGAAGCCATGTGCCCATTCATCAGTTTGCATGCACATCCCTGCATGACATGTTCAAATGCAGCTGGTCACAGCTGGGAGCATGGCCACTGGACACATACGTGGTGAAGGGGCAGGGTTAACCTGCACAGCCCAGAAACTGCCCTGGCATGGTCTTTTGGTGTGTGGTGGTGGGTTCCTGTGAACAGATTCACATGCTTCACAGACTATTGTTCCAAGCGTTGGAACCCTTCCTCGTGGCTGTGTGGAGGTGGGGAGGCAAGGGCAAGCCCAAGGCTCAGATCAGCTTATTCCCATCATGTTCAAGCCATGGTTGATCACAGTGTCCGAGCACAAGTGCTGTCAGAAAGGAACAACCTGCCTAAGCAGTGCAACCAAAACAAGACAGCCCTGCCACCGTGCACATTTGAGTTCAGTTGCCGGAATCTGAAAATGCCAAGGCGGTTTCAATTTTATTTAGTTTTTGATGACACTTGTAAGTCTGGGGGCTCTCTGGGTTGTCCGAAAAACAACAATCAATGACATAGAGAATAAAATCAAAATTAAAAAAACTAGTAAATCCAACACATCAATAATATCCATGGGACAGAAGACAAATGCATGTGACAAATAAAAGTAAGCAGCGAGAAAGACATAATAAAACCATAAATTATACTAAAAGCAGGTGTGAAATAAAAACGTCTTTACCTAGCGACAGAAACTGAGCAGTGAGGGTGCGAATCTCACTCTTTTGGACAGCAAAAGATACGACTCTTTCTTAGCTATAATAAAAATGAATGGCTTTTTTTTTTTTTTTTTTTTTTGGGTGAGCAGAATGAAAGTGGGGAGCTCAGTCCAGTCTGCACCTTGCAGACAGCCAAGTGTATGGGCACATCTCTCACATGAGTAGAAGCAGCTGTCCCCGAGGAAAGAGAGTTGTTGTCTGGTCATCCCACACATGATGGAGAATGACATGAAGTAGCAGAGGGAGAGGGTGGATCATCTCCTGAAGGTTTTATTTTCGTGCACTTCCTTCAACTCTAGGTTTCCCAGGCTGGAGACTTGCTCATTGAAGTTTACGTCGAAAGGAGGGATCCAGACTGCAGCGTTATAATAAGGGTATGGCTGCCATTTTTAGAAGATTATCTTAAAAGCTTAAAACATTTAAAACACTTCTAAGAAGTTGTCTTAAAAAACAACAGAGGCATAACATTCCATTGTAAATGCATCTCTCTCAATGCGAGTTCCATTGTTCATGTGTTTATCCATATGTTTCTTTTAAAAAATTACTTCTCTTTACTTTCTTGGATTTTTGCTTAATTATTGATGAGGCATCAAAGGGTATGTGCTATATATGTAATCCTCAGTCAGAAACATGAGAGTTGAATGTTTGCCGGCCTAGAAACAGGAGAGCTCCAATCACTCATTTTGTGGCTTCATGCAGGGCTGATGGAGAGAAACAAGAGCAGGAGAATCTAAGAGGAGAATCTAACTCCCTTCCCACCCTCCTTCCTCTCAACATTTGATTGCTGCTGTAGCCAGCAATCTGGAGGATGGAAGTAAGTGTGTGGACAGTCTGAACTCCTGCAAAAGCTACTCATGGGAGCTTTTGTGCACTGCTGTTTTTTGCACATGCAGTCACCAGGCAGCCCTGGCTGGAATGAAGCACATTATCCTTTCCTCATATCACTTAAATGGATCACTTAAATTACTGCAGTGTAATGACAGTTTTATGGCAATATCAGCTTTGAAAGTGTAATTTCCTTTACTTGCACAGTACACAGAAATTAACAATTGCCCAGTGATTGCTGTGATTACTTAATAGCACAAGGTCATTTTAATGTCCTTTCTCCTGACATCATTATTTTAAGCCAGGGGTGCTTTGCTGAAAGGCCTCGATTTGTTGCTTCTGCTAATTGAGATTCAAGTGCTTAGTTCTAATACCTTTGTTGGATCTGGATTCTCTGTTCCTTTGTCATATGCAATGGAGTGATGGTGGAGCAAAATAATTTAAGTATCTGTATTAACCAAGTAAGAGAGAGGCTTTGTAGTGATCTGTTTCATTATAATTTTAGACAGGATGCAGTGGGTTAGCAAAAGCTGGAAAAAAAATAAATGCATTGAGACTTTCTGTGGCATTATTTTCCTTTCAGGCTTTTAGAAATATCAAATAAGCTTTTGAAAGAGAGAACAGGGGCAAAATGCTTTCAGCAGCATCCCTCTGTATTTTTCTAAAGTAATATGAATCTTCCCAATCTCTTCTAGCGCAGTTAATGATGACTTGGCTGGGGATGTGATAAATAATGAATGGATTCATAAAGTTGGATTTTTGCAATTGTCCTTACAAAAGGAGATGGACAGTTTTTCCTCCTGTGATTGAGAGCATGAAACCTTGGCACAAATTAGAATTGTGTGGCCGCTTTGAATGATGCCTGAGCTATTTGTGATCTTCAACACAGGTATCGCCAATGATGGAGGCAGAAGAGCTGACTAATGACATATTGGGGATAAAAAACATCACACCGCACAAGGATGATGTGTGGGCTACATTTGAAGTGATTGAAAATGGAGAGCTAGGTTAGTGACCTTTCTCCTTTGGGGTTGTCTTGTGCAGTTATAGTTATCTACTCTTTGCCGTTTTCTTTATTGAGAAAAGCTAGGCAGCTTTAAAAATAAACAATCTGTGTAGCTGTTCAGGTAACAATAAACATGCAGTCTAAAAAGAGCATGGAAAGCTGCTTTAGGGTGTCCCACTACAGAAAAGTTTCAGAAGAGGCCTAGCTTTGACCATATCCCTTCCCTGAAACTGCCAAGATTTGTAAGAAACCTCTGATCAAACCCGTCCTCTGCTCAGTGGCAGTTTGGGGTCATTAGCATCAGGTGGTGAATACATGAAAGCATTTTTTGCCCAGTTGATCATTTGCTTCTTTAAATTATCATCTAAAAGCCATCCTAGATGAGATGCTGTTCATCTCAATAAGCAAGTGCATGAATGCTTTTTAAAAGTGAATATTTAGTGTTCCCCACCCCACCTCTCCAACTCAGATTAGAACTATAACGGGGTTAGGGAGATTGTAACCCCTTGCCCCTTCTGTGCTCCTGGACTGCATTGAGGTTGTGGGGATGCCTCTGATTTCATTGGAAGAAGTGATTTGGACTTGGGCAAAAGGTTCTTCAGATGCTGCATCTGACCTGCATCTGAGGGGAAGTCCAGTTAGCCCTGAGGAAAAGCAGGGAGAATGAAAGAGAGAGAAGGGTGAAGGGGAATGGAAGAGGAAAAGGGGAGGAGAGAGCTTTGCTTGTGAGCAAGAGGAGAAACTTCTAGCAAACTCTTCCGCACAACTGGTTTTGAGAGAAATGATGGATGGAATTTTCAGCGCACAAGCCAGATTGAAGTCTTTAATTTGACTTTTCCTGAGGTGATCTGTGTCTGGACCATGCCATACGAAACAAAATTCGCACACATGCATGCGTATTGGGTACCATGAAAACCAGCATGCTGGGGCAAGGCTATAGTTGAACCATTCCATGGAGGGAGAGGCATTTGCCTGTGTGTGCGTGTGTGTGTGTTCTGTGGAGCTCCAGATTAATCCAATGAACCCCCGTCTTCATTTGCAAGAGGTATGACTCAGCTGAGATGCCCTCCCAGGTGAAAATCAGTTCACTGAAGTCTACTTTTCAGCAAGTTTAATGTTTTTTCAACAAAAACCTCTGTTCAAGTTGGAATTTATTTAACCAGCTGAAACCAAATTCTGAGAAGACAAGTATATTAAAATCTTACATTTTCAAGAATGCAATTTCCTTCTGATATTTATTGCTGGATTGGAACAAATAGTTCTCTCACTGTTTACTGGCAAACACATAATGACCTTGGGAGCAAAATAATGGGATATGTAAGTTTGACAGCTAGACGTCTGATATATTGGAACTGAAATATTAAAGATCAACTAAATTATTTACATATGGAACAGCAGGAATAATTGGTAAAATTATCTGGCCTTATACAGGGGGCTTGCTATAAAAATGGGGCCTTGTAGTATATAATTTTTTGTTGTAATTTCTATATGATGGATAGTTTGCAAATGAGGTATGTTGCCAGTAAAATAACTAATGCATTTCAATAGAATGATTTATGTACCGTATAATCCATTATGACAGATGGTCTTCAATGAAACTATAAATAAAGCAGTAGGTGTTTGCTCTGGGAGCACACATGTTATTGGTAGATGTGCCTTGTTTTGCTGCCTTTTCCTCCCGAAGCTTTTGCTTTAAGGTGGAACGGAAGATAGACTATTATCTCTGAATAAGTGTTAATTATTATCTCTGTATATGAGTTCATTAGACTTCACAATATAGCCTTTGGCAGGAAGCTGTTCTAAGGGTTGAGCAAAACCATCTTTGGGATGGCTCTCTCTATTGGAAAAGGAAATGCCTTTTGCAATATGGGTGCTGGGAAATTTCCCACCTCCTTGCTGTAAAGCAGCCTTCTCCAAGCTGACACCTTCCAGATCAGCTGGACAACTCCCATCATCTCCATCTGGCAATGGTTGGGGTGATGGGGGTTGTAGCCCAGCACATCCAGAGAGCATTAAGGTGAGAAAACTTCTTCTAATAGTAAATGCTTCTCCTCAATGCCAGCAGGCATTGTGGATATAGGGTGGGACTTCTCCATGGAGTAAGGGACTTGTCAGCATGGAGAATCTGCACAAGACTTGCTCTTTTGGGTGGAGTCCCTGTGCGAGCTGACATATGCCTGGCTGCTAATCTAGTTCCTTTTGACAGTGGGCATTGTGACTTGCAGAACTATGTGGTGTGGACTGTGGGGCAGACAAGTGGGGCTATGCTGGTTGGTTGCTGGCAGCCCGGTTCCCCACTTTCTTTATATTGAATCTGGGAGAGCACTGCTGAGGATGTGATTGTGAGAATCCAACAGACAGGGTTTGCAGTCACGAGGGCAGCCTATGCATGAAGAGTAGCCTTTTCTCCTTGGTTCCTCCTCTTCAAACATGGGGTTAATGATCTTGTGAACTTCTGTGATGTGTACTGGCCACCATTTTAAATATCCACAGTTGTTTTAGCATTCTCGGAGGTTTGTCACACATGCCAGCAACCTCCCCGGCACCAGGGTTTTGCTGCCCTTATGTTAACATTTTCTGATTTTTATGTATATAGTTTCTTTCCTGGTTAACCCTTGTTCATTCAAGGTTGTAGGTACATGATCCTCTCTGTCACTAATGGTCCATCGAATCCTGTAGAGAAATAAATTCTTTTACTTGGGGCTGGATCATTTTTATGTGGTGTATTAACCTTTTCTGTTTCAAATTTGTAGGTGTAATAGGTGTTTTTTAAATTGAAAAACAGTCTATACATTTTACATACATGCAGCTTGTATTTTGGTAGAACTAGTACTGTAATTTCTATAGCTCCATGTGTTCAGAAAATGGAATCTGACTTCTGTAATAAACCAGGAGAAGATCCACAATGAAAAATGTGACTCATGAAAATAAGAATGTAATGTGATTATAAATACCCTTTTCTGGATTTCTTTCTTGTTTCACACACTCCAGAACGTCCTTTACATTATAATGAGAATGTTCTAGAACAAATTCTTCATTGGAGCTCATTGCCAAACCCCAGCAGTGCATGCCTTGTAATAAAGAAGTTCCTAACAGCGGATGCAATGAAACTGTACAAGGGTATGTTGATGTTTCCCCTAATTTCTTTAAAATTGCTCTGAGTCATTAGCACCAAAGACCATCCTTTGTTGATCTTGGTTAAGCTTTCAATTTTCAAAGGGATTCCAGTGAGATAACTGATTCCTCGGGCCATTGGAATGAAGCCATAATCTTTCCATAGAATTTCCTAGGACTGAAAAATTAGCCACAGAACAGTAAGGAAAATTTCAGAGAAAATTCTGAGCAGCCCCTGCTCTTAATACTCTATAAATATATGCACTGAGGAGATAGGTCTCAGTCTTGAGAAGAACCAAACCTTATTTAAATAAACAAAGGAGGGAATGAACTTTCAACCCTTTTCATGGCTCCTGTTTTCCCTGGCAGTTCTAAAAACAATAATAAAAATAAAAAAGAACTACCAGCTTGAGAAGGTGAGTGAATGGGGCTGGGCCGAGGGGCTGGTATAAGTACCATTTGTGCTGGGGCCCCATTTGACCCATCCCATTAACCCGTAACTGTTAAAAAAAAAAAACTTGTCAGGAATATTTGCACCATTTTTGGAAATGGAAATAAATGCAGATAGGAAGTAAATGGAGGGGGAATTTGCACGCCCGCAGTAGCGGAACAGTGTTTGCACATAAATTTCCAGCAGTAAGTACTTTGAAAAGGACCCATGAAAAGGCTCTGTGTGTGTGGGAGTTAATGCATTCCTTTTTCTTGGCTACCTAGAGCCTCAGGAAAGTGATACAGTGGTGGAGGGCACTGAAAAAATTGAGAATTGGGGGGAGTGTCATGGCAAGTGGGAGGTACTTTACTTTTAGGTGCACCTCCTTTTGCCATTGCCCCTCTCCCAACACACTATTCCTGGCCAATGGTCAAGAATGCTGGGATTCTGGTTTAAAACACCTGGTATGGGAAAAGTGGCACTGTTGTCTTGCTGGAGACTCTTCTGTGGGTGCAGAGCCATATTTCCGAAGGAGCATTTTGTTTAGCTTACAGATATCCTACAAAAATCTGTGGCACTGTCATTTAAAGCTTTGAGTCACTTGAGGAAGTGGTAAGGGAAAAAGTGCTCTTAAACATTAAAATGGTTATTGTGGTTGGAGATCCTCTTTGCTGTGAACACCCACCATTAAAAGAAGTTCAATATTCATTGTGGTGATATTTAAAATTCCCTGCAGATCACATAATTGCATGTTGAGAAGGATTTTATTCAACTTCTGTATTTTGGACTGTCTGCTGCATATCAAAATGTTTACAAACAGAAGGCCAGCTTTAGAGGGCTTACAATTGCTGATGTTGGGTCCAAACCATAAGTGAAGTCAGTGGACTGTTTCAGTATTAAGGCATGTGTTCACCTGACCTAAACATGCCCAGGTTTAGTTCCATTGTGCTGTGAGAACTTTTTGGGATGCTGCATACATTCCTCAGAATCTGGCATGAATGGTACAATGCTGACATTTTTGAAAACCAAGATTTGTGAATCGAGAGAGATAATGGATGACAGACTCTAAATCATTTTATGAATGTCTGTGAAACTGTCAGTGGATTGACTTGGATTTCCTAAATCACAAAACCTCATATCCTTACGATGTAGCAGAAATCCAGTTTACATGCATTTTAAGAGGCAATAAATGCAGGCATGATGAACAAGATAAATATCAAATGTTTTTAAGAAACATGTCAGCGAAACCCTTTTTCTAACATTGTTGATGGAGCTGGGAGGATAGATCCTGGTGGAAAAGCTGTGGATTCAGATGCTTCAGGGACTTGCAATGCTAGCTTTATGTGTCCCTCCAGCTATTTTCTTGCTTCAGTTTTGAAAGCAGAGCTGGATCAGAATACCCAGGTTCCCCCCTTGTCTGAGAGTCTTCAGTCCCTCGCCCAGCTTTCCTGCTTATCTTTAAAGACTCATCAACCCAAAGTGTGAGCTGCAGCAACAAGTGACAGACAGACAGACAGACAGACAGAGAGAAGGATGGAGTGAGCTGTCCACACGCATTGGTGGCCTGCTGCATCTAGACCCCTCTCCTTGTTTCCCTGCGTGCCATGACTCCGGCTCCTACTGCAGGCGGGTGAAGTCTGTTTAGGGCAAGGAAGTTGAAATTGTGGTTCTTGGAGAGGATACTTTTGAGTTCAGGAAGGGACTGTGACATTGGAACATAGGCTTGTTTCAGAAATTAAGCTCCAAATATTTCCTTTTTTTTTTTTTTTTTGTAACAAAAATTGCCTCTTCATCCCTGCTTACTGGCTCTTTACCTGTCAAATGGTAAAGCAAATGGTAATTACAGGGAAGAGGATGCGATACAATAGCAACTGATAACAACAGCAGCAGGGAAACAAAATCATGGAGCAAGGCCACTAAGGTTGTTTCACCCAGGCATCCATAAGAACCTGGAAATGACACTCCCCCCTCCCCCCCCTTTTTTTTGCTAAATTAATCATGTTATAGAGAGAGATCCTAGCTGCTCAGGTTGCAATCAAAGAATTTGAAGAGGTGAAGCAAAATAATACTCTTTCCTGCTTGACTAGACATAACACTTAACTAGGGTTAACGAAGATGCTTTTGCATCCTGGTTTCTGGCCAAACCTTAACTGTTACTTGGGTATTCATGTGAAATGCTTAACCACTGTTAAAGGGACAGCGGGGACTCTGCATGATAATTATGTCTGCAGAGGAACACAAAATCTAAAATAAATGGGAGTAGTAAAATTATATTAATTCCTTGGTTTTCTGATTGTGTAGATTCATGTTGAAGATGTATAAAACTGAGCAATCTGTATGATATTTTAAAAAGTAGAATAAATTGTGAACTAAGTATTCTTTTTATCATCTTGACAGAGAAGAATACAAAAGACATCATAAAAGCCAGCTATCTGAAATACAAAGAAGAGCCATCTAAATTACTGTCTGGAAATAAGTTTCAAGACCGTTATTTTGTTTTGCAGGAAGGAAATTTCCTCCTTTACAAGGATATAAAGGTATAAATACCTGCACTGAGCCCTCTTAAATCATATGCAATTGCACCTAAACACCTTCCCTTTTGCGTAGCGTTTGACAACTGACATTGGATGCTTTTTGTTCTGCTTGCCTGTGTGGAAAGTTGGAAAACAACCTGGTTTATGCCAGTATGATACACAAAAAAGGAAGGTTTAAAAGGAGTGTATTCTTGCTTTGTGCAACAATGTATTTTAACATTTAATTCAAACACACTTGAATAAATGTATGGAGTGAATGTAGAATGTATTGCCAACACTTTTAATAGAGGCCTCACTTACTTGTGGAGCTTGAATAGTCTGTTTAAGTAGCTTGGGCACAAAAAACCATCACTTTATTCCATGTTTGCTGTATATGGCACCTTTTGGAGTTAAAGCATGAGACTGGTGAGGGCCCAATCTGAGAAAATTACCATGTTGGATCCAAACAAGAGGGGAAGCAATAGCAGGTTAAAAGGAAGGAAGGACTTATTCCACATCAAGATGGTGGTGCATTATATGTTGAAGATCGTTAAGGTGCAAGGGTGGAAGGGGCAGCGATGTCCACAATAGCAGTTTATTAGGAAGATTGAAAAGTGTGCAAATAGCTGCTTCTACTGGTAACGGTAGAGTTGTACAATATTGCATAGTGGTACAAGGTGCCAGAAAGGACAGCTAAAATGGTAGAAGTGTTGGAGCAGCTCACCTACAAGGAAAGGTTACAATGCCTGAGACTGTTTAATGTAGAAAAATGATGAGTAAGGGAAGCTATAACAGGAGTACACAATCATGTGGATAGAGAAGTTTTTTATTCTGCACTTATATCAGAATCTGAGGTCATTTCATGAAATTAAATGGGAGATCAAAGGCAGATAAAATGAAGGGATTTGTTGTGCTACTAACACAAGAGATTGCGAAGACCACCGGCTTTGACAGCTTTTAAAGGGGGTTAGACAGTCACCAGACTATGGGGAGCTCAAAGGCAGGCTATAAGGGCAGTGCACTTCTTACATCATTGCTATCTAGCAGCTGATTTCCAGAGGAATGCTGCCCCTGAACCTGGAAGTAGCAAATAGCTAGCATGCTCTGCAGCCATTGATAAACCTTATCCTGCATGAATCTGTCCAATTCCCTTTCAAAGCTGAAGGTTGGCCACTCTGTTGATGGATAGATGGGTAGATGCTCATATATTTACATATGGAATGTTTAATCCAGGGGACTAATCCGTTTGTGAATTGTCAATCCCATTTCACACTGTTATGTATTCCATGGCTCAAGAGAACTGTCAGCTATGGGCCTTCCAGGACATCCTAATGCCCATGTGGTAATTAACAAACTTACAGTGGAATTCAGTGCACATTGAGACATTAAAACATCCAAGAACGGTTTGTTGAAGAATGCTGGGAGATGTATGACATCTTTCTGTTTAAATATGCATAGGATTGTGGTTTGAATAAGTATTATTTGTTAATGATTTTGTATCCCCTAATTCTGGCTTTTGTTCTGTTAGCAACATTTCAGTAGAAGGTGTTATTTGTATGCCTTTCATAAAAAGAAGGCTAAAGTGAAAATTCTTCAGCTTGTAACATTCTAAAGAACATAACTTTTTTAAGAAGAAAAAAAGTCTAGGCAGTAATGTATAATGGCATTACTCCCCAGTTCTCCCCAATTGTCTATTTAGTGCTGTAATCTAAAAGCAGCAAATTTATATGTATAAATTGGCACCTTTAAAACTAATGCACATGTAATTGTGTGCATGATTGAAGTCCTAATTAGCAATTAGCAAGTGTTGATCATATGTTGCCTTCAACTTTGCACGTCTTACCATTAAGCTATTTCAGTACATAGCATTTTACTTAAATATTCTATGTTCAAGGTGGTATGCATGTGAGCATTACAAGAAAATCTCAGAATATTAATAGCACAGAAATGAAAACATTGAGAAAGAAGAAGCTGAAAATGCTCTGCTCCCAAATATCTGAATCATTTAGAATGTCCGTGTCATTTAATGATACAATTTGCACAGCACTTGGGGCTGCCCCTTTTGCTCCCTGGTTTAAGTTACTGCCAGCACTAATATCATCTTTTTCCCTGCTCCTGTTCCATAGTACAGGGTTGCCTTGCATATAGTAATGATGTCAGGATAAGAATCTGCAAGGTTATGAACTAGATACTACAGAGGGCAGAGCACAATACGGTGATGCACCTTTTGGTGGCATTACTAACTGACTCTTTTCTGATGCACAGGATTGCTTCGAGAAGTCTATGCACAGCGATTTGCTGTTTTAAAAATATTCTTCCTTAAATTAGATTATTGTTCTAGCCTATCCTGAAGGCTCAAGGTGAATTGTATTATTTTTCAGGCATTACAGTCATTAAATCTCATGCTCTTGCCCTGTTTTTCTCCCTTGTATGTGTTTCTTTATTCATCCCTCCATAATTAATAGCTTATTTCAAACATGCTTGTGCAAATTATTCAAAACATATGATGTCAGCAAAGATGTTATGTTTATTTCATTATGCACAATATTACATTAATTGCTTGAAAATACTATGTTACTTGCTAAGCTTACCCTTTAAAAACTTGTTCACTTATGCATACCTAGATTAATTAGCACATTTCTTCTGGTTGAATGGGCATTTTTATTACTGTGACAGAATTGGGTTAGGAATGATTTTTGAAAGATTGTACAACTAATTAGCGTCGAAATACTCAGTGCAAAAAAAGCTCACCTCTGAACTGAGCCACATTTATCTAAAAGTCACATGATGTGTTTCAGCTTCTGTGCTGGAAGTGGTGAAACTAGGCATTGTACTGCAGAGCATGGGTGGACTGCCATAAAATTGGGTTCAAATGTTCTTAATTCCTAGTGGATGTGGTCATCCTCCAAAAAGAAAGTGTGTAATAGTTTGGAGTAGAGATTTCATTTACCATATTCTGAGAAACAGATTCTAAGAATCTGTGTAGACCTCTTCTGTTTAGTTAGAAACTTTCTGCCATGTAGGAATTTACATTAGAGGAAAGTGTTTGCTTTTTACACACTTGTGGTGCATTTATGTGTTATATTTTAAGCTATTAAGCTATTATGCTACCCAAGGTCTCTGGGCAGCATATAGTACATTAGGAAAATAAAATCCAAGTAACAAAACAATGAATGAAAACAGCACATAACAAAACCAAAATAAAAGCAGCAGCAATGAAAGTACCATTATTGAAGGACATTAAAAGTTCTTATTAAAATGCCTGGGTAAATAGAGTATTTGCTTGGCACCAGAAAGACCATAATGTAGATACCTGGCAAGCCTCTCTTGGGAGGCCATTCCTTAGTCTGGGTGCCAATCCTGAGAAGGCATCAGTTTAAACATCACTCCCTCCTTTTCTACTGTGTGTCTCTGTGCATCAAGCAGGTTGTATGATTTTTGAACAGAAGTTGTGTGTTTTTTAGCTCTCTAAACTTATGTAAAATTATCTCTTGGAAACTTCCAAGATAATTTTCCTTATATTTTGGAGTTCTCTATGACTTCTGTTATGGGTTTTCCCCCCTGATATCTTCTAATCATTACATCCTGAGATTTTACCTGCGTACAGCTCCTTTCCTCTACAGTGATCAGTCACCCTTTGCTACAGGAACCCATGCAGTAACAACAGCAACAAGATTTTCGCTGAAATACAAATGACTGCATTGTCATACTAATAGAAAAAACTAAACAAGTTGATAATAAGTGTCCCATAAGGAAGTGGTGAAAGGGGGCGAGCCAAAGGATAAGCAACTATAGGCACTTTGCTGTAGCATTCCTGTTTGTACATTGTATTCCTGCTAATTTACTCATTTCTGAACTCAACAGAGCAATAAGCCTGAGAAAGTACTGCCGGTCAAATCGCTAAAGCTTTATCTGGGAGTGAAAAAAAAAATGAAGCCACCTACCAGGTAAGAAAGCAGTTGAGAAAAATAATTTCTTCTTTATTTGTATATTGCATGTTTATCCCTCCTTTTCTCCAAGGTGGTATATATGATCCCATTCCTTTTTATTTTATCCTCACAGCAGCCCTGTGAGGTACAGTATATCACAGAAGTGAGTACACCCTTCACATTTTGAAATATTTTATTATATCTTTACATGTGTCAACCCTGAAGAAATGACACTTTGCTACAATGTAAAGTAGTGAGTATACAGCTACAATGTAAAGTAGTGAGTATACAGCTTGTATAACAGTGTAAATTTGCTGTCCCCTCAAAATAACTCAACACACAGTCATTAATGTCTAAACTGCTGGCAACAAAAAGTACACCCCTAAGTACACCCCTAAGTGAAACTGTCCAAATTGGGCCCAAAGTGTCAATATTTTGTGTGGCCACCATTATTTTCCAGCACTGCCTTAACCCTCTTGGGCA